TAAGCCACACAGCCAGAAACCCGGTCGCAAAGACCAAACAGACACACCCGCAGGATGATTCTAGGCAAAAGGGTCCATGGAGCCCACCCCCACTCCTGCCTTAAGCGGGTCTCTGACACAATGCCCTCCAGACACTGATGTCATTTTTAGGCAGCTTTCCCAGGAAGGATGCTATCGTCTATATTCAAGTGCTTCCACTTCCATCAGCCCAGAACTACCACATTGTTAGCCTCCACCTAAGACTTGCTCTGGAATCTTCTACGCGCGCTCTCTCTTACACACACACACACACACACACACACACACACACACACACACACACACACAGGCTTATGCAACCCCATGGCCTCCCAGAACATCATTCGTCTTCCTCCACTACCATGGAGGTTCCTCTCCCGGCAGCAACTCACACCAGCTCTATTCCACCTCCTACATCCTCACACCCTCGGCTCTTCTGCGTCACCCAGCTGCCCTGAACGCTGCAAGCCGGAAACAGCTTCCAGACCCCACTTCCTTCTGCTTCCTGACCTCTATTGCCCACCCGGCCGTGCTGACCATCTGTGCCTCTTTTCTGGGCCCGCTGGTTCCTCTGCAGGCACAACTGCAAGTTCCTCACAGTCACGAGCCGAGGGGAGCCCTGGTAAGGCCGATACAGTGAGCTCATTTTAACTTGCAAGAGGAAGAAAGAAATCAAAGTCCATGGGTCAAAGAGGCAATGGAAGCACTATTCCATAACCAAAGATGCCCAATGATCTCTCAAAACCCCCAGAAAAACCTCCTGGCCATCTTGTCGAGGTGATTCAACCCACGGTGAACCTACAGGGCACAGCAGAACTGCCTCTGCGAGTTTCCATCCGCATGGGAGCAGAAAGCCTCATCTTTCTCCTGTGGAGTGGCTGGGGGAGTTGAACTGCTGACTTTGTGGTTAGTAGCCCAGCGCCTAACTCACTATACCACCGGGGGCTCCACTGAGCTTTCTACACAGGTTCTAATCCTCTCTTTCTTTTGGATAACTGGATGACTTTGGCTAAACGTCAACTTCCAGAAAACGAATTTCCCACGTGAATGTTGCTGGCAAAATTTAAAGTGTTCACGGCAGCACTGCTCCTCTGCCTGCTCACAGGACTGTGAGAACCAGATGTGGGTCCAGAGGAAGGTCCTTGTCCTGATCTTGGCAGCAGTGCACCAGAAGACGGGTATCTGAGATGCAGGTTGCAGGCCACAGCGACTAGCAGAAAAAGTGAAGTGAGAGGAAAATAGGGTAGGAGGGGAAATGGAAAAGCTCCCCACTGATGAGAAACACCCCACGACTCTGCATCATCATCTGACTGGGTGCCGGCACAGCAGTATTTAAAAAAAAATCATTTTATTGGGGGCTCGTACAACTCTTTTTTTGGCAGATTGTTTATATTTCTAGCTGTTGAGCCAAATCTCTTGGAGCGCTGGGATTTCCTTTAGCGGCGAAACCAGAGCCAGCTATTGAGCAGCCAGAAGGCGGCCGTGATGGAGTACATGCCCACCTCTCGCTTGGCCCGCTCTTTGTTCTCCTCCTCGAGCAGCTGCAGGCGTCTATTCACCTTGATTATCTGTCGTCTTAAGGAAGCGGCATCTACAGCCGTCATGTCATCGGAAGCAACGTCAAGGGATGTGTCCATATTTGAAATGCTGTACATGGAATCGTTCCTGATCAGCGTCCATTCTGGCGGACAGCATTCTCACTCACAGAGCGTGCTCTCTTTAGCCTGCCAACTGTCCGCATTTCTTCATTTTGAGGCGTTGGAGCAGGTCTTTCTAAGTCTGGAAAGTCTAGCGGTCTTTCACTTAGCGTAAGAACACGTGGTGGTGTTTTCAGTGCCAGAGGTTTAAAGGGAGTTGACTGAATAAGGTCAAGATCTGCTGATCTTGAAAATGGAATGTCATTATTTCCTGCCACAACAATCCTCTCTGGAACCTGCATTATCACACTAGCATTTGGAGAGCCGTCTTGAAATCCTTGTTCTAGGTCAGAATTCGGTGGTGCTACTTTTAACTTCTTGGGACGCTGACTGATACCTTTGGTGTATTCCATCTCATACTGGATGTGACTAATTTCCGCCATTTCAGCAGCAGTGGGAGAAGGAAATGCTGCCCCACTCACCAAATGAGTAACTACTACTGCTTGCTACTTGGCACTATCTGCTTCTGTGCTTCATAGTAAATCCTTTCACTTGCTTCAAAGGGCATGTGTTGGATTTAGAGCCACTTGGGTCCCCCTGGGCCCGCTGGAGGGTCCCTGGTGAGGGCTGCCGCTGGCTGGCTCCCGGGGCGCTCCGGGGTGCTCTCAGAGGCCGCTGGCCGAACGCACGGAGGCGCCGGGGCAAAGCACCTGCCGGAGCGGCTCTCAGCAGGCCGAGAGAGACTCTCGTACAACTCTTATCACAATCCATACATCCATCCATCCATCGTGTCAAGTACATTTATACCTTTGTTGCCATCATTATTCTCAAAACATTTGCTTTCTACTTGAGCCCTTGGTATCAGCTCGTTTTTCCCCTCCCTCTCCACCATCCCCTCCCTCATGAGACTGATAATTTATAAATTATTATTTTGTCATGTCTTACACTGTCCGACGTCTCCCTTCACTCACTTTTCTGTTGTCCGTCCCCCAGGCAGGAGGTTACATGTAGATCCCTGTAATCGGTTTCCCCTTTCCACCCCACCCTCCCTCCACCCTCCTGGTATCGCCACTCTCACCACTGGCACTGAAGGGATCATTCATCCTGGATTCCCTGTGTTTCCAGTTCCTATCTGTACCAGTGTACATCCTCTTGAATAGCCAGATTTGTAAGTTAGAATTGGGATCATGATAGTGGGGCAGGAGGAAGCATTTAAGAACTAGAGGAAAGTTGTATGTTTCATCGTTGCTAGACTGCACCCTGACTGGCTCGTCTCCTCCCCGCGACTCTTCTGTAAGGGGATGTCCAGTTGCCTGCAGATGGGCTTTGGGTCCCCCAATCTGCAACCTCCTCCTTCATAATGATTTGATTTTTTGTTCTTTGAAGCCTGATACCTGATCCCTTTGACACTTTGTGATCACACAGGCTGGTGTGCTTCTTCCATGTGGGCTTTGTTGCTTCTGAGCTAGATGGCCGCTTGTTTACCTTCAAGCCTTTAAGACTCCAGACACTATATATCTTGATAGCCGGGCACCATCAGCTTTCATCACTACATTTGCTTATGCACCATTTGTCTTCAGCAATCGTATTGGGAAGGTGAGCACACGATGATATGATTTGTTGTTCTTTGATGCCTGCTACCTGATCCCTTCGACACCTTGTGATCACACAGGCTAGTGTGCTTCTTCCATGTGGGCTTTGTTGCTTCTGAGCTAGATGGCCGCTTGTTTACCATGGCAGTATTTCTAAACGACGGCTGACGAGAAATGAAGAAGTTCACCGCACCTGAGCTGGGAGAGCTTTGGGGGTACAGGTAATGAAACCCGCACAGCAAATGTTAACTAAGTGCTTTTGTGGTCAAGCGATTCCGGGCTAAGGGCATTATTCCCTGCGGCAGCCACCTCGTGATCCAAATAACCCTAAAGGATAGGGGGCTGGGGGAAGGATCAGATGAATCTACGCTCCAGAGGATTTCACTTAAAAGCAACACAAATATGAGGGGGCTTCAGCAAGCTCTCGGAAAGGTTCCACCATCAGTTAATTCCCTTCTTTTCACGTGAACGTGCGGACACCTTGTTGTACGTGAAAACATCATGAACTGGGTCTAAGTTTATCCGCACGCTGAGGATACTGAAGCCAATCCTGGTTGTGTTGGGATCCGGGTCTTTGAGGCTTAAGTTAAAAATGAAAGCGGGGTGACCACTGTGGAGGTCTGCCTCGAGGTAAGTTCAACACATCCTTTACCTGCCTCCCCATCCAGTGCCTACGAACGACCAAAGGGTCAGAAACAGGAACACAACTCCAGCGCTGGCGGTAGGGGTGGATCTGGCCCATACCTAGGGGCTGTCCGTCATCTTTCTCGGACACAGGCGGGGAGCAAACGGAGTTGCTGAGAAGCCCAGTCAGAGAGGAAGGAATGCTGCAAGGACTCCCCAAAGTGAAGGTGCCTCAGACCACAGACAACAATTTCGGGGCGAGTGGACACTCAGCTTAGACGACATGAGCCTGACTCCCAACGCCGGGGTCTGTTTCAGCTGGGGTGGGGGATGCTGGACTCCAGAAAGGAATACATAATCCATACTACATGAACGTAGCCGTTTCTCAAACACAACAAGAGAGAAATTCCGTATTACACATATTAGCACCTGGGCGGCTAACTTCAGACCCATCTGCCCAGGAGCATTGTGGGTCAAGAAAGGAACTTTTCAAAGGATGCTGTCAGTTCTGTCCTAACCGCTCCGTGTGACAGGGGAGAGGTGCCCCACAGGGTTTTCCTGGTTGTACTCTTTACGGGAGTGGCTGGCCAGGTCCTCTCTGAGCCACCCTGTGGGCTGCCGACCTCTTAGGCAAGGACGTAATGGTTCTGCCCCTGGAGGCCCTAAAGCAAGATCACCCGTGTTTATGAAGGGGACACCTTCTTTTTTTTTGGCCTTCCCCTTTTGCAAGCTTGTCCAAGGGGGGAAGAAAATCAAAATATAAAATACGGTTTAAATGATTTCAGGCAACTGTTAAACTTTTTTCCTGTTTTGAGCCTGGTAGCTTCTCAAAATCTTCCTACGAGATACTCCACCTTCAGGATGCTCCTTAGAACTCCATGGGCTATTCCTGGCCTTTCTGGTAATTGGCAGTCACGTGATTTAGGTCAAACGGGGGAGGGGTGGGGTGGGAGGGGGGTTTGGAGGGGTGGGGGAATAAGGTTCTAGGGAACAACAAGCGATCCAAATTGGTGGGGAGGTGGGTGTGGGGGAATAAGGTTCTCTGTACACTTCCCCGTTCCAGAAGCACTTGGCCCGTGCCCGGCTCACCACGCTGCCCTCCTCCTGCAGGGGTGTGGGGCGCACCTACCCGGGGGGCTGAGCAGCTGGAGGACGTCGGGGCGCTCCATGGCCTGCAGGAAGTCGCTCAGCTCCGTGACGGTGCAGCCCTTCTCGCCCAGCAGCCGCAGCAAGCACAGGCTCGGGCTGCCCTCGGGCTCCAGGACCTTGAGAGAACACTGCTCCAGGTCCAGGCAGCTGAAACGACAGAAGGACCCGCGTCAGGACCACGCCTCCATCCCGACCTGCGGGTGAGGCGCCGGCCACGTGCTCGGCACCGCGCAGGCGCTGCAGGGGACAGACCTCAGACGGCTGAAGGCGAACATCTTTACATTCTGGACCCGACGGTCCTTTCCTCCTCTGTCATTACAGGGGACACAGAGAGGGACAGGTGGCGAGGTACTGCCCACTTCTCACAACACCCCGTGGTCACTGTCCTCCAAGCCCCGTTCGTTCCTCAGTCTTTTCCTTTATGATGGAATTCCCACTTTGGAGGAAAACCACACCAGATACAGGTGTACAGATATATGCAGATGAAGGCAGGTATTAAGAAGAGTGTGTGTGATTTGGGGGAGGAGCGGAATGTACACATGTGGTTTTCCTCTCGGAACCGTTTGTCCTCTCACACCTTTTGGCCAATCCTGTTAGACCTATCGCTGTTCCATCTTGAGCTCTATCAGTTATTTCTGTTAGATCCATTTAGACCATGGTCTGTGTATCAATTCACCCTCCTTTCCTTTCAACTCACTTAGAGTGAGGGGTGCATGTGTGTAACTACTTTTGTGCTGAAGATTTAAATTTTTATGTAATTAATCTCCTTTTATAGTTTAGACAGGCCTTCTTTAGGTCTTTAGAGGAAAACCTATATACTGTTTCTAGAACACTCTTCATTCCTCCCTCCCTTTCTTCCTTAATATTAAAGCCTTTGATGCATTTGGCGCTTATCTTGATTGAATGCAGTGGAGGCTGGCTAGAGATCTGCTGAGCCTGGTTCTTCTTCCTGGGCCCATAGGGAGACTACACGTCCCATGCTCCCTTGCAGCTAGAGGTCATTAGTCCCGGGCAATAGGCTCAAAGAGGCACACGCATTTGGCAAGAATCACAATCCAAGGTCAAGGCACCCCAAAGGCAGAGCCACATACCCAATGGAGGAACGTGATCTGTGTTCCAGCACTCCTCCCAGAGCGATGTGAGCAAGGCATAATGGTTTATCTCCTTAAGCCGTTTAAAAGGGGGATGGGGGCGGTATTTGTTACAGCGCTGGCATGGATTAGTCAGATACGTGTATAGTATGTAATCTGGATGAGGATGATGATGATGATGGTGGTGGTGACGAGAACAACGAGGAGGCTAGGGGGTGCTTTGAGCCCAAGGCAGAAATGCAGTTGGAGGGTTTTAAGCAAAGGAGGGACAAGAGTTAACTTAATGCCTTCAATCGATCCTTCTGGCTGCTATATGGAGACCAGTCTTGGGCGCAGGGAGGGAGGTTGAGACAGAGGAGAGATGCCCAGCAGTTACTGGGATCAGTGAGGTGAGAGATGGCAGTGGGATGGCAGTGGAGGAGTGCAAAATCATCATCTACCTGCTTTCTATGGTAAGGCAGGGTCCCCAGGGGTGCCAACAGTCACCACGCTCAGCGCTAACCAAAAGCTTGGAGCTGCCCAGAGGTGCCTGGCAGAAAAGCTTGGTGACCTACTTCCAACAAAGCTAGCCCATGAACACCCTGTGGAACACAGTGCTACTCTGACACCCTGGGGTCCCCAGGAGCTGGCGTCCACTCAATGGCGACTGGTTTTTATGAGGGGATGGTGCTGCACAAAGTTTGTAGAAAAATCCGTCTCGTTTAGCTCCACTTTTCCCATGAACTTTTGGAAGTCCCCTTGTATGGGCTTCTCAATACCTACTGAAGGTGCAGCACATAGGCGTCCCTGACCAAATGGAGGTGATGCGAAAAGCAGGTGAGAGAGCGGGGAAGACAAGCCTATCAGTCACGCAGGAGCCCTGGTGGCACAGTGGCTTAAGTGTTGGGCTGTTAACTGAAAATCAGCAGCCCTGAGCCCACCAGCCACTCCTTGGAAGAACGAGGCTGGCAGTCTGCTACCATTTAGATGTATAGGCTCAGAAACCCTGTGGACCAGCTCTCTTCTGTCTGCGTTGGGGCTGGAATCTCCGGAAGGCAGTGACAGTCACTCAAGAGGAGCCAGCCAATGGGCGTCTGTATCCGGGGAGCTGATAGTGGAGGTCTGGGCTGGGATGTAAATGGGGGTCATCAGCCCCAATAGGTGGACAGCCCAGAGACTGAAGAGTGCCGCCTAGAAGATGAGGTGAAGAGGTATACCCACCGAACTCCGTCCACTCCAACATTTAGAGACTGTGAGGATGGGAGACCTCTGGTGGTCACTGCCCCATGTTCTCATTCCTCTGGCACGTAACAAGCTGCTCCTGCTGCAGGTGGGGCTTGGGGGGTTGCCCCTGAGATACAGCAGCATGTGGTGACGATGGGTTTTTCTTGGTCCATGTCCCACAGCCCATTGCTTTTTCCTTAGTTTATTCTTTAAAGATTTCGCCAACGTAAAACTTACATCTCATACATTTCAGGGGTTGGATCATGTTCATAGGAGTTGGGCAACCATCAATACAATCAAGTCCAGGGAATTTCTTCTGCCTCGCACCCGCTGTTATCAGCTCCCCATTTCTTGCCAGCCTCCCCTGTCATGTCCCTTTGAATCTATTGATGCAGTTGTTGTCCCTATAAGTTTAGCCAATCTGAGTTTCATACACATTAAAATCAGACAAAAAATAAAAAAGACAGAATACAAACAAATGGCCCAACAATGACACAATGAGACTACGGAAAACCTCAATCGGTAACTAAGCAGAAAATATTAGTAACTGGAGCAATTATACGGTGGGACAAGAGGGAGATGAGGGACAAGGTGTCCCATTTTGCCCTCACTACAACTGCAGTCATCCACCTACCACGGTCTCTGTCTGGTAATAAGGCTCTCATCTCTGGTCCGTAGCCGGAAGGCTTATTCTGCAAAAGGGTCCCTGCCAGTGGGTTTTGGGCTTTCACTGTCAGATTTTAAGCTCCGATACCATTCCCTCCTCCAGGTCGGGATTTTATTATTCACCATCCCTGGGTCACATGCGCTGGTGTGCTTCTTTCACGTGGACTTGTCTGACGCCTCATTTAGATGGCTGCTTGTTTTAAGACGAGCCTTTACGACCCTAGACACTATCTTTCCGCTAGCTGGGCACCGTCTGCTTTCCTCACCACACTTTGCTACAGCACCCATATCTTCAGTGATCGCCTCATGGGGGTAGGTTTTGAGCAGGTTATAGCCCATTTCTAAGCCAGTGATTAATGCTCCTTAGGCAGCTTTGGAGACCTCTGGGAAGGGCCACCATCCACCCTTGGGGCTCGGGCGTGCCACACCAGGACGGATTTCCATAGATTGAGCAAGACTCCAAGAAGTTGTACTGGCCCATGTCTACCCTGCCAGGAAAGGGTGTATACCAGCAGACCAGTCTGGAATGACATCCGGGCTGGGCTGTACCTGGGGCAGACAGTGCCCATGCATGTGGTTGTGAGACACGGAAGTATAGCTAAGGATTTATTTTGAGGCATTAATAGCCAGCTGAAAATACTTTAACTTATCTCTAATCCCTGGTGAATAGTTCTGAATGGGCTCCTGTGTGTGTGTGCATGTGGGAACATACAGATTCTAAAGCTAAATGAATTATGTAGTTGGAGGAACAAGTCATAATCAACTCGAGAGTCATGGGTTTGGTTTGAAAAGAGAAGATAAAAGAGAAAGAGAAGAGATTCTCAGCCTGCGCACCCAGGACCCCCAATGGAAACAAGTTACAGCCTCATGGGACTTGCTGCCCATTTGGGCTGGATTCTCACAGGACGACCCATGTTCGATACCAGGGAAAAGTGCCCTGCAGCACCATCTGCGGGATCGCTGCTCTCCTCCCAGTGCCAACAGTTGATGTCAGTGTAAGTCTCACTGCTCGCTTCAGGGAATCCCCCCACTTCCAACAGGTCACTGTTTCCAAATCCTGCCTTCTTCAGACCCGCAAAGTTTAGACATTTGGTAACATATGGACCTAGAATAAGGCAATCTGGGATTTTCTCTACTTGCCCAAACGCTTAACGATGTTTTCCCTAGAACAGAAAAAGAAAAAAGCTGCCTGTTTAAGTTTGCACGTTTCCCACTTGTTGCTTCTCTCTTCTTTGTAGACAAATAGTCTGAAATCATTTCTCTTGGCCTCAACCTCAATATCTCTGAAACTTGGGTGTTATAAAGATTAAAATAAACAAGGCCTGTAAATAGCACACTGGTTATAAACTGAGTGCTCAGGAAACGATCCAAAAGCAGTATGGTTGTTAGACATCATCCCTCTATACCAGGCGTCCTCAAACTACGGCCCGCGGGACACATGCGGCCCACCGAGGACATTTATCCGGCCCGCCGGGTGTTTTTGCCCCATTTGATTTTTTTTACTTCAAAATAAGATATGTGCAGTGTGCACAGGAATTTGTTCATAGTTTTTTTTTAAACTATAGTCCAGCCTTCCAGCGTGTCTGAGGAACAGTGAACTGGCCCCCTGTTTAAAAAGTTTGAGGACCCCCTGCTCTATACTGTCAGATGTTATCTGTGACTGCCCCTGACGACTGTACAGTACTGGTCAACCCTTTGCGACCAGGAGCTAAATAGCTGTCAGCATAGGGTCACTGTGGATTGGCATCGCCTCCCTGGCAGTGAGTCTGGTTTTTGTTTTTAATCTTCTGAGCCACCTCCCAAATAGCAGACAACCAACAAGGATAATTTTGAAGCAATGAGTACTCCCCCTCTCAATTCAGCGGCTATTTATTGCGTGATCAGCTGGGTACTATGCGTAACTATGAGACTACTAAGAGACGGTGCCTGCTCTCAAGTTTACAAAGACCTATACAAATGATTACAGTACAAGACACCGTTTAGTCATCCAAGTTAAACCTCGGCGAAGGAGTTAGCAGCTGAGTTGATTCTGACTCACAGTCACTGTTCACAGGGCAGAGGCTTCCAAGGCTGTCACACGTACTGAATGAAGTAGAGTGCCCTATTTCGTTCCTGTGGGGGCAGCTGGTGGTTTTGAACCATTGGCTTTTTTTGGTTGGTAGCAGCGGCGTGCTTAACTGCAGTTCCACCAAATTCAGACTTCTGGAAGAGCGGTTCTCAGTGTGGTCTGGGAGCGCTCACTGGGATGCCTGAGTCCCTGTCATTCACTGATGATCCTAGGAGAGCTCACTGGAACCTGCCCAGGTACCTGACCTGCGAGAGCCCGCAGCCAACTGACTGCAGGGGCAGCTGAAAGAACCCGGAGTCTGCCATGATGCCAAGACAACACAGAATGGGGATTTCAAAATGTAAAACAAACCCACTCTCCTAATTCTTTTTTTTTTTCCCCTTTTCTCCTAATTCTTTTTGCCTTTGCTTTAGAAACTTTTGTATTGCACCCACAGATATTACTTCTGTTAGTAAGTAGGGCTTTAACGATGGTCAGTTTAGTTTTCATCTCTAATGCTTAAGTTGTCAGAATATATGCAATAAAGAACCCACATAAACAAAACCTTTTGGGGAACCTCAGTCATTCTTAGGCGCTTAACTGAGTGGCCTGCCACCCGAAAGTTCAAGGAAAACAGGGTTAGCCTTTGATGTTCACGTGGGGACGGGGTTCGATGCGGGAAGGCGGCAAGCTCCGTGTTGGTCTTTTGCACTGTCCACCCCGATTCCTGCACCCCAAACCTACTGATTTCGTCCCCTCTGCCTGCACTCCTCCCTCCCAAGCTTCCTTAGATGTGCAGGTGTGTGTCCGGATGCCTCTCTGGCCAATCGCCCCATCAACAAATCCATTCTCCCTCGGCAAACTCGCCTTGGTCCACCGCCTGTGCGTCAGTATCCCCAGGCCCTTCCAAGGTCTAGGAGGCTGCCCCCCGCAGCGGTGGTCTACCCATTCGCGGAGGCCCCCAGCATCCCTCCCCTCTTGGACCCCGTCCGCACCCACGCGATGCTGACCCTGCCCAGCTCCTCTCTCCACCCGTTTCCCACCCCCACCCCCGGCTCGCGCCGTCTCACCTGAGCCGGAGGCGCCCCCGGGTCCCCGCCACCTCGGCCAGCCTCCTCCAGCCCCGGCCCTCGGGCGCCCGGTCCAAGCTCTCGCTGAGCCTCCGCAGCAGCGGCTCGCGCAGGCGGTTGAGGGTCGCGCTGGCCAACGGCGCGGGCGGCGGCCCCGCGGGCGCGGCCAGGGGTGGCTGCGAGGCCGCGGGCGGAGGGGCCTGCAGCGGCTCCCCCCACAGCGACATGACCCGCGCCGGCGGCCCCGGGACAGCCAGGCCGCGGCCTGAGCGCACCTTCCGCCCTCCCTGCAGCAGCCCCAGAGTCGCAGAGGCAGGGCGGAAGGACGAATCGGGCGGCTGCTCGGCGCTCGACGGGGGAAGCTCTGCTCCCAGCCCAGCCGCCCCAGGTCTCGCCGGGGCGCCCGGCCGGCCTGCAGCAACAGGCGGGCCGAGGGGCGGGGCCTGTGGGGGCGTGGCATAAGGCGGAGCCCGCGCTTACGTCAGGCGCTGGGGCGGGGCTCTCGTGAGGGAACTCCACGCCCCGCCCAGCAGAGGCTGCCAGGCAGGGAAGCCTGGCCGACGGACTACGCCAGACGCTCCGGGAGGCGGGGCCTATTAGGGGCGGGGTCAGAGCATTGGGCAGGGGCGGGGCCGGCGCGTTCCAAGAGGGCCTCCGCTCACGGCCCAGCCCGGACAGGTTTCGCAAGGTGCCCAGCCAGCCAGCGAGCCAACCGGCCGGGGGGCGGGGCCTGGACCTGAGCCGGGCCTTAGGGGGCGGGGCCGACCCCCTCCCTCCCACGCCGCAGTGGCGCGTGCTTCAAACCTGGGAAGTGGAGCCCTAGTCGAAGCGGAAGGGTCGGGTGTTTGCAGCTGGAGGAGGAAGCGGTGTAGGATCTACGCCCCGGTGATTCTTCTGCTCCGAGGAAGCCTGTGGTGTCGGGGCTTCCCGAGACCGTGGGAGGAGGATTGCTTCACGCCGAGAATCTGCATCCCTGGCCCGGCCGCTATTCAGACTCCCAACTTGCGTGTGCCCGGCGACGCCCCAGTGCCCGCAGCGGGCAGCCTCAGCACAGGCTTCCTCTTAGTAGGGTTGGATGTGGTATGGCGTGGGCAAGGGGAAGTACTAGAAAGAATTGGCCGAAATTACTCCTAGACTTTTTTTGTAAAGTTGGGGAGTGAAGCCAATCAGATCCAGGAAATGATGCTGCCCGCCTGAGACCACCAGATTACCACTCAGCTGCCTTCAAAATCAAAGCATGCCGCATCAAGAGTGTGACCCAGAATTCATGGTGTAACAAGCCTGGCCTGCCTCCGCTGTCTCTCCCAGTCTTAGCAATATTCAAGTCCAACGCCTCATTTGAAATGAGGGAAGTTTGGGTCAAAAGCACGCGAGTGACTTAAGAGTGACTGGTCAGCCCCCAAATATAGACCTTCCTGCCTCAACTTGTGGTGCTGTTAACTTTTTTTTAATCACCCAGGGCACCAGGGTTTCTCTAGAGCAAAATTTGGACGTCAATTTTCTTTACCTGTTAGCGAGGTGTTTTCGTTGTTGTTTTTGCCCCAGAGGGCCCCCACAACTCTACAGCACATACATATGTGGCAACTTAGCGCCAGTGCATGTTCAGAACACCATACGAGGCTCTGAGCCTGACTTTGGATCTGAGAAGATTCCAGTGCTGGATTCGAGTTTCATGACTTCAGTAAGGCCCAAACCAAACCACACTCACTGCCGTTGAGTCACTTCCGTCTCAGGACCCTGTAAGACAGAGTAGAACTGTCCTTTTGAGTTCCTGAGGCTGCACATTTTGGTTGAAAGCCCTTTCTTCCTACGAAGGAGCGGCTGGTGGTTTCAAACTGCTGGCCTTGCAGTTAACAGCCCAATGTGTAAGCCATTATGCCACCAAGAGATAGTTGTTGCCAGAATGAAAGTAACTGATGTGTGCAAAGCTCTTAACCCAGTGACTGGCACATAGTAAAACTCAGTGAGTCAGTTCTGACCCATAATGACCCTACAGGACAGAGTAGAACTGACTCTGGGTTTCTGAGACTGTGGATCTTTACAGGAGCAGTAAGCCTCATCCTTCTCCTGAAGAATGGCTGATGGTTTTGAACTGCAGACCATGTGATTAGCAGCCCAAAGCGGAACCCACTACACCACTAGGGCTTCTTGGCATATAGTAGGTACTCAATAGATGCTAGCTATTATATATATATATTTTTTTTTTCTAGCTATTATATTTATATTACCAACCCCAATCCTTGTTTCAAACTCAGTTTGACTTGGCAGATCTCCCCCCATGACTTCTAATGCCTTTCGGTTTTACCCTCAATCTTTGAACAAATAAATATCATCTGGCTTCCTGTTAGCCACGTGCTGGTTATGAATGCCCCATCTTCTGGTGGTTCTTGGACCTTACCCATTAAATTTCAGATTCAATAAACTTTTTTCTTTTTGAAGTCTACCGTGTGCAAGATGGTACTGATGGAGCCTCTACTATTGAGTCAATGCCTACTCATAGCGACCCTATAAGTCAGAGAAGCTGCCCCTGTGAATTTTCCAGGCTCTAACTCTTTACAGGACTAGAAAGCCCCATCTTTCTCCCTCAGAAGGGGCTGGTGGTTTCGAACTGCCAACCTTGAGGATCCCAGCCCAACGCGTAACCACTACACCACCAGGGCTCCTTGCTCGTAGAGGTATGTTCAAATGGGTTATTGTACAGTGAACAGTGAAAGAACAGTATAAGAGACATCCTGCAGGACTTGTACGCAAGGGAGGGAAAGGAGTTGTATGACCTAAATGGAATAGTTTCCCCCTCCCACCCCGCCCCCATCTCTTATCCCATGCCCAGCCTCCTTCCTGACCTCTTTGATTTAGTGGCCTCTTTGAAAATCCCTGCATGGAATCTTCACAGCACTTACAGACACAGGGGCCTCAGCAGGACTGCCCTGTTCTGCTGGGCAGTTGCAGTTGTTGTGCGCTGACAGGGTGCAGCCTCAGTTCTTCTAGAGGGAAATGTTGGAGTGTGCTCAAGAGGCGTTTGCAGCTGTGTCAGAGTGGCCTTCCTCATTTGCTTAGCGGCCGTCCTGCTCCTGGACTCTTTCCTGCTGTCCTAGCTGGCCATTGGAGTGCCTCCGCGCGTGTCAGAGGAGGACGGTGCTGAAGAGGATTTTCAGAAGCCGTGGATTTTCAGAAGCAGCTTGCCAGGCATTGCTTCTGAGATGCCCCTGGGTGGGGTTGGCCCTCTAACCTCTCACTCAACAGCCAAACCTGTGGAATGTTTGCTCTCAAAGCCGCCATATTAGTCCTGGGAAAACCCACTGCTGTCAGTTGGTTCTGACTCGCTACAACGTCTGGACAGCAGAGGGAAACGCCGCCCGGCCCTGCACCCTCCACACGATTGGTCAGCTTGAGCTCATTGCGGTGGCCACTGTGTCAGGGAGGCCACTCATCAAGGGAGGGGGACAGCTTAATACGCACTTGTTTAGTTTCCTTTCGGATCTCAGCCATTGTGTTTATATAAAGTTAAGAGGAGAAATGAGGGCAGACCATGTGGCTTTTAAACGCTACTTTTTAAGCGTCTGCTCTCCTGGGATAATACTCTCTGGAATCCTTCCTCATCCCGTAGACGGGACATTGGATTTGGAGAACGAAGGCAATTTGTAGGAACCTTGTGCATGGTTTCGTTCTTTGGAAATCCATCGAGTTAAGCTCTGAAACACTTACAGATCTGGAAACCGACTCACAGATTACCTTGGTCTTTTATGCAATTTGACTGTAGACAGTATTCAGATGGAAAATTCCCAAATACAGTATTTCATATCTGAACAGGATCGAAAAGACTCGGCCCAGGAGCCATCCTGAAGGTCCTTGGATTTGTGCCCAAGGGAGGGAAAGGAGTTGTGTGGCATAATGGCATCATTGCCCCACCCCCTGGCCATCTCTTACCCCATGCCCAGCCCTTTCATGTCCTCTCTGACTCAGTCCCTGGGCTGGGGTCACTCAGCACACCCTAAACACAAAGTTCTCCACACCCACTTGCAGCCATCTCCCGAAGGACACTCCAAAATCATTACCATTGAGCTACTTCCAATTCATAGCAACCCTATAGGACAGAGGAGAAGGGGCCCTATGGGTTTCTGAGACTGTAACTCTTTACGGAAGTAGAAAGCCCCATCTTCCACCCTTGGAGTGGCTGGGAGTTTTGAACTGCTGACCTTACAGTTAGCAGCCCAATGCATAAGCTACTATGCCATCAGGGTTCTCTCCCAAAGAATTAGGGGGAAGGGTTCCCCATTTTGATTTCAACCTTGGAACAGCTAAGCAGCACAGAATATTCCACTTCCTTCCTTCAAGATGATCCCAACATAAATACTTGACGTTGGCCATGGCGAAAATGACATTTACTCATTTAAATTCATTTATTTATTCAATCATTTAAATATTTATTGGGTGGCACCGTGGTTAAGGACAAAGCTGCTAACCGGAAGGTCAGCAGTTCAAGCACCCATTCACAAGTGAACAGTGTGGCAGCCAGCTTTTGTAAAGATTTACAGTCTTGGAAACCCGGCGGGGCAGTTCTCTGGCCTAGAAAGTTGCTGTGAGTCAGAAACACTCTATAGCAACAGGTTTGTTTGTTTGCTCTTTGACTGTATGCCTGGCTTTGTGTCAGATACTGTTAAAGAATAACCTTTCAAAGGAAAGGTAAGAACTTATCTTCCAATCACGATGCAACGGGCAGGTGCAAAGCTTTTATATAACTCTTTCATTCAAGCGGGAACCAGACTGGTATTGCAACCAGTTTAAAGAATCCAAAGACCAGATGAAGTTAAAAGCCATCAAAGACTCAAAGTGAATTTTCTCACTGGCTGCAAAACTGGCTTCTTCCGAGGTGGAGGGCAGGCAATTAAACTTCTGCTAAACCAGAAGTTATCTATGTACAAACCGGGATCATTGGTGTTATTATCAGTCTTCTACAGATTGGCTTCTATCTCTGCAGAGGTGTAAAATAGTGTCTTCAAACACAATCAGTGGAGATGTCCAGTTGAATGAGCTAATGAAGAAGCCTACTGCATTACAACCGTTGCTTCCTCTCCCCGCACCCCCTTTTCTTCTCACAGCATTGACTAAGTCCAATCTCCTGGGAAGGAAAGGGTGGGACAGTGCTATGCTGGAGGCTAGAGGGGAGGGAGTGACAATACGGAGGGAGGGGAGGCTAACGCTTTCACTTTACGGAGTTCCCAGTCTGTTCTTCAAACCTGCCAATGAGATGGCATTCAGTCTTCCCACAGCTCTCTCATGGGAGACCTACTGCGCAGGTGCTGGGCTGCTAACTGCAGTGACGGCAGTTCAAGCTCACCGTGCCCTCTGTAAGAGGGAGGGGAGGGTTTCTACTCACATCAAGAGCTACAGTCTCGAAACCCACAGGGCCAGTTCTAGTCTGTCCCACAGGGTCACTGTGAGT